CATTTTTGATGATTGTAATGGGTGATGGTTTTCATGGTCCAATAAAATCTTGAAAAATTACGATTTTCCGTCGGAAGTTCTGGGGTTTTGAAGAACTAAACGTGCAAAGTATTTTSACAAGAAAAASAATGTTTTATTAATGCAATAAAGMGATGTCAATTGGTGCAACTTGTTGGCAACATTTKAATGTTTTAAATTTCAAATTACGATGAATCAACTGCAAAATAGATCCAAAATATCACGTTAATAAGAACAAAGGATCCAGGAAAGAGGAATCTGCATTTTATATCGATTGAGTCAACTTGGATGTCATCTGTATTCAGCCATCTTTTAAGTTTTGCAATGAAACCTTTTGGATGGCTTGTGCTTATGATTKTGTCGACCTCACCATCATCCTTGAAGAGAAATGAGAAATGTTTAGAAACTGATTTCATCATGTTTCACTCACTAGGAGTGCCTTTATCTTTCGGTAGCTGCGACTACGATTACGTTTAGGATAATGACTGCGGATAACCGCAACTACTTCTACTAAATACCCCACAACTACAATTACCAGCAGACACAGTGAAGTAAAACCGTGAAACAGGTAGAAAACTTGCGCTGTAATTGCCTTGTTTTCTTTTGTGATTATGTATGCACTATGGGATTCTTTGCATAGTTTTGTGTAATTTAAATTCTTATATGATGTGGTGTGGTGTGGTGTGGTGTGGTGTGGTGTGGTGTGGTGTGGTGTGGTGTGGTATGGTGTGGTGTGATGTGATGTGATGTGATGCGATGTGATATAGTATTTACTTGACGTTGTGATTGTATGTGCAAGATTCAATTGAACGAGAGGTTTGTGATGAAATTTACAGTTTCTGCCTTGCCTGACTACAACTTACTACTATCGAACTTTAAAACTCAAGACTTCTTTCACKKGTTWAATGMCTTCAMTTTATCACTATTACAGYCATTACKAYTKTACTGCCTGTTCMTCTCTCACTAACTTTACTCCAATTACCTTTTCTATCTAATTCTACTATTAACATTACCATGTCAATTTTTGTCATTTCAACATCGTTGATCTTGTCTTGTTTTTGCTTTTCTTTGACATTGTCGTAGTAGTTGACAATGGCGTACTCTACAAGMGCAGCAAATACGTACAACAGGCCTACTATCAAGATATAGTCACTGTACTTGGTGTAGGTGACTTTAGGTAACGACGCTCGGACAACACCGCTTAGCGTTATCATCGTYAAAACCTGCAGGGATGAAACACAATCAGAAATGAAGTTAAAGAARCACAACMAACCAACTGACCAGATAACCAACCAACCTATAGACCCACCCACAACCAACCAACAGGCCAACCAACTTACTAATCAGCCAACCAATCAACAAACTAATAAATCTGCACTCATCAACCAACTTTTCATACACAAAATACAACCAGCAAACCAATAAACAGCTATAAACCCACCCACCAACCAATCAAACACTTACCAATCAACCCAACTCAACCAACTGTCCAAATAGCCAACCAATCAACAAACTAATAAATCCTCAAGAAACTGAATTAATCCATCCACCAACCAAACCAAAAGACTCACAAACTAAAAAACCCATTAGCGAATCGAACACTACCAATCAACCATCCAAACAACAAACCATAAACCCAACCAACCCACCGCCAACCAAATAACCAACCAACCAACCTCTCAACCACTCAACCAACCAGCCAACCAAACAACCATCACCCTACCAATCGACCATCCAAACAACAAACCATAAACCCAACCAACCCACCGCCAACCAAATAACCAACCAACCAACCACTCAACCAACAAACCATCACACTACCAATCAACCAACCAACCCACCACCAACCAACCAACCAACCAAATAATCAACCAACCAACCACTCAACCATCACCCTACCAATCAACCATCCAAACAACAAACCATAAACCCAACCAACCCACCGCCAACCAACCAACCAAATAACCAACCGACCAACTAACCAACCAACCGACTCACAAACCAACAAACCCAACAACCCACCAAACCACTAACCGACTCAACCATCACTTTGCCAATCAACCATCCAAACAACAAACCCACTAACCCACTAAACAAGAAACCAATAAACCCAGCCACCAACCAACCAAACAACATATGGCAATTACCGTCGTAATGCACAGAGCTACTCTGGCTGGAGCTGCCCGGTAGTTGATCCAGAACGATACCCACGACAATGCAACTATGAGGACTAACGGAAGATACGTCTCGGTAATGAATAGATTGAGTCTTCGCTTGAATCGAAACGTCAACGACAATCTTGAATAGGTTCCTAATAGGAATGAAAACATGAAGAAATTAATGGAAGGGAGAGAGAAAAAGGAAATCAAAGAGATRGAAATATAGGAAATAACAAGCAAATGAATGAATAGAGGGAGGAAGTATTTGATGAATTAGTATATATGGTGGATTAATGGAAAGATTCATATCTGGGTGTATGGAAAGATGAATAAATGAATGTATGGAAATATGAACGAATAAATRAATGAATGAACATATGAATGGGAAGATGGATAAAAAACACGAAAAGATGGAAGCAATGAAAATAATCAACTTGTATTTACTATACTTGCACGGTACCTGACGGGAAAACCTCCTCGTATTCATTGCCGATGACATGWATCAGGTCCATCTGCGGTAAGCGAATATCTTTATCCATTGATACCGATCCTGTCTCACCGAACTTCCACTTCAGCCTCAGGTCATTGACAGAGCCGGCGTCTGATGAGAACAAAGCCTCATTCACTAAGAGTTACGGGCTTCCTGTCTAACTGAAAAATCTCAGTCTTTTACATACTATGTAAATATTATGTAAATATTTTGGAAATTGCATTTTACAAACAATTTTTTCACATTTGCAAAAAATCTTCATTGAGTACGAGGAATAATTTACAAATGATTTACAARGTCTTTTGAAATTTACATAGTATGTAAAAGTACCTTGGTCCTGTAAAATCAATTTTACAGTCTGTTTACAAACAATGTACACATGATTTACACAGTATGTAAAAGTCTGAGGTTTTCCAGTGTTTATTTCTGGGAGATGAAGGAGTAAAAAGTAGCTATGACACTTCGYCTACGCAGTGGTAATTAATCAAAACTTACAGCTCATAATGTCTAGTTTGCAGACCTGGCTGTCCATCGGGTATTGTCTTAAATCCATTGGACAAATGGCAGTGATTGAGATTCTTTTCATGAAGAAATACAGCGGTCAATAGTGGAGGAAGGAATTCAGAAGGGAGAGGGGAGGTTTGGGATGAATATGGGAGAAGGACGGATGAATAGAAGGGAGACGTGRGAAAATAGATGGGAGGAAATTTGAAATGGAAGAAGGAGGGAAGAATGGAATGTAGGTAGCTAAGGAGAGAGGAAAGGGGTTGAGGGAGGAAGGAAGCAAACAAGGGAGGGACAACATAAGAAAGGTGGTAAGAAGGAAGGAAGTAAAAGATGGAGGAAAGACATGGATGGTAAATTAAAGAGGGGGAGAGAAGAATATAAAAGAAGGAATAAAGGAAAGTAGGATGTGAGGAAGAAAATGAGAAAGGAAGGGATTGTGAGAGAATGAAAGAAGAAAGGAAGACGAATCGGAGAATGTTAGAATGAAAGGAATTAATGAAAATTAATGAAAATTGATAAAAAACAACTGATAATATAAGGGTTGTTTATCAACCTCAGGCTGAAAAATACTGTCCCATTCGGCATTAGAATGAGCAGGTAGTTTTCTTTGGTGACTTGATGAACTAGTGACGTCTTTTCATTGGTGAAATATGTGTCAGGAATCCAGATGTCGCTTAACATGTCACCCTGGATCACAAGGTTCTCGTCCAAGTCATTCTTTAAGCGAGGATCATTCCATGTCTGTCGGTAGTATATCATAAGCGCATAGTCCTAGCAAGAGAAGAGCAAACCTTGATGAAATTAGAATTAGCACAGGACGGTAAACATTAAACTAGTAGGCAATGTGCAGCGACGCCATTTTGTGCAACAAAGCATGATGGGAGTTGTAGTCCTCGCACTTTTTCGCTTCCAATTAAAAAAGTCCTCTTATAAGCCCTTTTTTCTTAGTCTTTGCGAAAATAAAAGGTTGTGACGTTTCTACTTGTAAAGGAAACACAACATTAGCTTTAAGGGAGATCTTAAAGGGCTGTACATATTATACAGCATAAAGAAAGTCCCCTTAATCAGGCTGGTACGCCATTTTGTGGAGCAGCAGCAAAGCATGATGGTAGTTGTTAGTCCTCGTACCTTAATATAACCCTCTAAAAACCGTTTTTACATTTTCTTTGTAGAAAAGGCACACCTACTTCTACTTCTAAGAAAATCGACTTGGGAGGACTGTTGTAGCAGACATATAAAGTACGAGGATTATAACTACCATCATGTTTTGCTGTACAAAATGGAGTCGCTACACATTGCCTATTAAAAGTGTTTGTGAGGAGAGGCTCATTGTACTTTAATAGTAATTATTTTACAATCTGACCATGTTGCGCACGGAAATCTCCCCGATGTTAACCACGTGTAGATCCACATAGACAACTACGGGCTTTCCTGAAAAGAAAAAATATCAAGCAATCATTTCATCAAACATCAACCTTACCATGAGCAGAACCARCTAKCAGTCATTGAAAGCAGACGAGGTTTTGCTTTATGAGTGATATTTTGTTTTGACTCGACGAAGCATGAGTCATGGCGCTTGAMGAGATCTAGAGATATGCATTGCTCAAAACAATCAATTAGAGATCACAAATCTTTGTGGTTTCATTGAAAGCCTTATCAGAACTGATCAGAACTCTAGTGGTTTTCAYCAAGACTGCACTTGAAAAAAMAATTACAAATCAGAGCGTCTAGACACTTCAAGGAGAATACAAAGGGATATACATGATATATTCGCGAATTCTAACCTCCAAAGAAGGGTCGAAGTCTTTTGTCATAGTTCTTTTTTACCCCATTGAGAACACGACTRGCGTTATCCATCTTAACCATTCTTTCTGCTTCTTTGGCAACATCATCAAGGCCACTGCAAAAGACATTCTTCATTAGCTTGTAAGCTACGACAGGCCGCCGACAAAATACGCGATCAAAACCGACCAAAATGCGTTGCGCTTCGTTTCTATTCATTGAAAACAATTGTTGTAATGTCCGCTAATGCCCTAAGCTTAGCAACACCACAGGCGCACGCGCTTTCTTCTTGCATGCTTTCAAAATGGACGTCCAGAATCATACATTAGAAATTATTTGAACTAAACCATGTAAAACAACACGTTTGAACCAATCAATTTAGAMTGACTGACAACCCATACAAACTTMATTTTAAGGCAGATTCCTTCATTCCTAAGCTAAAATAGTTGGTCTGTTACCGCTACATGTTAAGTGCGACGTTTGAACCATGCCCTTTTCTCGATGGCACTTATTAAGATTAAAACCCCAGCTATGATCAGTTTTCAATCTTAATCAAGCCTTTTTGACAGTGAAGRAATGATTTTTCTTCTTTTCAACACCTTACTTTATTCCAAATACATTATTCAAAGCTGTCTATTTGACATTATATTGGGAAAAAATCACACAACTTCTTCTTTGAATGAAAAATCTTTCACAATAGCTACAAATGTGGGGTYTTAGTCAGTTATTAATATAAGAATTTGCTTTTTTTACCTTGATAGAGCGGCTGAGGGAGAAATYCCAAGAAGTGAGAGTTTGACTAAACACACAAGCACGCCTGCCCTCATAGTCGTAATAACTGCAGTCTTTTCGTACGAGTTTCGGCAAAATTAAGTTGGGCATACAATACATTAAAAATTGACCTGTTTTTCAGCCCAATTCTGTATAATATTGATTGGAAGTTTACTAGTTTAGAATGCTAAACAATCAATTATGTAACAATTCGAAGTGAAAAATATAAACACTTAATTGTTGATAAGTTACAGAAAAAAGTCAATAACGTTTTCAAAAACTCAAAATGTGMCTATGAAACTTGTCGGGAAAGTAGTACTTCTTGAATTAGTAGCAGGACACGTTTCTATGTTTATATCTTAATAAATTATTTATCCRATGCACGGACTGATTTTTGGATTTTAGTCAGTTACTGGCACTAAATTTTAAATTTGTAGAAGACTAAATAATCTTGGAGGGTATGCCACAAGATATAGCCACAGAATATCAAAGTTTGATCTTAAAATTTAAAATTCGTTTTCCTTTTATGAATTTTAATATTTATTTGTATTTCAGAAGCTATGATTGATGTTGGGAATCATGGGCATTTTCACGTAGATAGACATTAAAAATCACTACCATTTTTCAGTACAATTTGTGTATATTATAAAAATTTCTGTGGAAATTACTATATATTACATTTCAGCAAGCTCTTTAAGAATTTTCTTTTTCAAATGTTAAAAAAAATTTGCCGACAAATCGCTTTTTATCAAAATTACTATGAAAATAAAGCTTTAATRATTACAGGGAAGATCTGCAAGCCCAGCGAGGATATAAGAATCATGGTGCGATGTTTACATTTTCCAAACTTTATTGCGTTTTTATTTTTAATTTTTTTATTTTTGCTCCGGAGAATTATCTACTTTCTCTCAAAACATCACGCATAGAAAAACAAATGCTTGTAAATCCCTTGTTTACTAAAATAAAGCAATAATAATTTATGCTAAATCTTTTTTTAATATTTTCACTATAAATTTTCTATGCTTTGCCCGGAGAGTTTTTCTCCAGGTACGCTGGTTTTCCTCCCTCAGTTAAAACTACTTGTGACCGGAGTGGCGTCCGTAAAACAGTTAGTATTGTTGAGGGAGTTTGTGCGGGTGATTTTTTTCCACTTTTTGCCTGGATTGGGCGACTGAGAGATTATAATAAAGGTATTTATTTATTTTATTTCYACACATTGTTAGCGGCTTTCTTTTAATTTTGTAACGTTATTGGAGAGACATGGAGAAAATTGAAAACGTGATAAATTTCAAGGACTTATTTGTTGACTATTGGCAAGTTGAGTTTAAAAGTCACAAGTACATTCACTATATTTTTTTTTAATTTCCAAAGAGTTTTAAGAAGCTATTGTAATTTTTTATTAAACTTTGGAACTATCGTAACTCTATACAAAACTCTTTTTTTATATATTTTTTTGTATTGCTGGCAGGTTCATATTTTGCGACATTGTCCTTAAACCAGCGAAGCCAAAGCAAAAAAACTGTCTCATTTATTTTTCTTTTAATCAAAAAGGAGTTTCAGCCATTAATGAATTACTTGCAGAATAAAACAAACAACWGTTTCATASAGAGTTGTAGCGCTGAATCTCAATTTTATCCAATCGAGAAAATATTTTGGGTCTTTTAAGAGAATCAAAACTGGAAATAATCCCAAAAAGGTTTATAGCTTATAGGGACTTAAAGAAAGTTATTTTGTTGAGCTAGTGTCAGTGACAGTTAATTAATAATCAAAATAATGTCGGTTCGTCTTTTCCCACTGAAAGTCTTCCCTACATGAAGTTATTAAAAATGGAAAAGTTTAATTTTTTTTATGTTTATCATTTAAACCCTTTAAAAAAAGCAAAATAATAATTCAAGCCTTGTAATTAGCATTTTTAAATACACCTCTATATTACGGAGACTTCTTTAATATGCACTCCTCTATATTACCAGCTCCTCTTAAGAGTTTGACAAATAACATTCGGCTTTACAAATCGACTTTGATTCGGCTCCTTTAGCGTTTGTAAYATAGATTTTCCATGAAATTATTTTCTAGCAGGAAAGCCGTAAAAAGMAAACAAGATATCAGTCGATTTCTAGAATTTTCTTTAACTGAAGATATTTTTCGATTTTCAAGATAGTAATACCGGAAGATATCCCTTCATCACTTGTTATGAATATTTATTTCCAAGTTTGAAACGCTATTAGAAATTAACGTCTCGGTGGGCAAGTGATTGCGATCATCTGTTCTCGAACGACGAGCTATACTCGWTGCATAAAAATCGCTTTAATGGTTTTTATCGTTTTATTTGTGCGCATAATCTAAAGATATATACCGCATCTTGTTAGTACCTAGCGTTTGAACTTGAAGCCATTCTAGTGCTGCAAGGTTTTACGATAAAGCAATTGAAATGCCGCTTTCAGTAAAGCCATTTAATAGTAACACCACTTCGACGAATCAAAGCCATCACAATGTCACCCATGAATTACACATTAAACAACAGACCTTTTAGAGAAAAGGTTTCAAGTCAAGACTAAACTTGATTCTTTGTCTATCAAGAGCAGCCTCAGACTGAAACCATCGTTTCGTGTTCATCCAGGCGAACTCTGGAAAGTTCTATTCCTATGTCACAGCTTCTATTGTAAAGCCGTTTAAACTTAGCGCAAAAATCTTATGCGGCACGATTTGATTGTCTCCCCGTTCCATTGTAAAGCCGTCGCATCAGCGATCTAATAGCGAATGCATGACGATCGAATATCGATCCAGATAAAACAAACTACGAATGYTAAACGAACAAGTAAAAAGACTTACAGAACTGAACAACCGTGCTACTTTAATGAATCGATACAGTTTCGTGATGGGATTCCTGTGTATTCCGTGTTACATGTATTATTAATAATCATTAAAAATAAATATATAAATAAAATAAAAAATGGTGTATTATTGTCGTCTATAAGAGAACAAACAATCCTCAATACATAAATAATACGAGTCTATGTGTTCCTTATTTTAAGAGCTGTGGCTCTTGCGTTGTCTATTGTTCCACGGACTGGCCACTTAACAATCTTGTGGCTTCCTCACAAAAGAATCCTGCAAAAGATTAACCGAGAATTRCTGTATCGGAGACTCTACATTTAATAAAGAGCAATAAAGTATATTACGCTGAAACGTATTTCACGGGCTTAGAGAGATTTCAGTAAACCCGTGAAACAAAGCGTGATTACTTGTAATACACCGAAACATGCAAAATAAAGAGCAATAAAGTGTAGTACGCTCAAATGTATTTCACGGGTTTAGAGAGCTTTTCATTCACCCGTGAAACAATATGTAATAAAATAAGATGCACCGAAAAGACRTAGCAAAACGTGAAACATAAAGAGTGATAATTAGGGTAGTACAATTAAGTGTATTTCACGGATTTAGGAAACTCATTATATAACTGAAGGAGGGAAATACCTCTGATATGATTTCAAACTGAATTACTTTTCACTCTATTAAAGGGACATGGTCCACCAGCATCCCTTTYGAGCTTTTGCTCATGTTTGAAAATAAAAAGACATCGTAATATAAGCAAAAACTTAYTCTTTATTATCCCTATATGAATAGAGATGTTGTAAGATTCGACCTTTAAACTGACGGATGGAAACGGATTGTGAATGGATATTTGAAGCTCACCTCATTTTTCATATATGAAAAATCTAAAACACGACCGCATTGAATGCTGGTGGACCATGTCCCTTTAGAATAATGATAAAATTAAAACTCGATATCACTAAACAATCTACCTTATCAAAGTCAGTCATTCAAAGTTGATGCTTTCCTTCGTTTTATATTGGATAAAAATATGTGTTTCATCAATGGTCCTTCTTGTTGTTGACCTTGTTTTCCTCGCTTTCGCAGAACACATTTACCCTTGAGGCACATCGGCCTTAGACCCCCATCGATTCCGCTTAATTGAAACCCGTTTGACGGCTGAAAATCAACGATTATTGCTATAGCTAGAAGCAAAATTAGATATTTGGAAGCCATAATTGTTATGGACGCAGAAGGCGTATGTTCTAAAAGAAATAGGTMTTCTAGCTTTTATGACTGAATACAGCAAGTGTAGTTTAAAGTCGACAGTTTAATACCACATCCTTTTGCTTTTGAAAGAGCAAGTTTTTGAAATATTTGATGCGATTTGACTCGAAGCTAATATAATGGTAAACACTTAATGACTGGGCTGGATTGGTTCTCATTACTTAGAGGTCAGAAACCATCAAAAAAAGCCATCATTTAACTGTGAGCGAGTTTATCTTTACTAAAACCTTGCGTTTTGAGCCGTAAATGTGTCTTTAATCGCTTCTGATACTGTTATAAGATCGTAGTTTAAGTTTAATTCTGTTTGAATGAGGGACAAGCAATATAACACCCGTTAATACGGCGTTTTGACTGTACTTTAACAAATTGCTATTGATTTTTGTTGTTTAGAGTCTTATTCGCAATAACAACGAAAAAGACTGAAAAAATCGGTTTTTAATGCATAAAAAATATATATGATAAACTATCCCTTTCTGTTATTAGCTTACAATATTTTATTAAATTTTCTCTAAAATCTTGATTTCTTTTTGTCCTTAGGAAAATACTGTGATATTTATCTAAGACCTTGAAAATTTCGATTTTTTACACTAGTTGTCGTTCCACGCACATAAAAGCCTTAACCTTATTAAAGAAAAACTAGTTTTCGTCTTTAACCTCATCAATTCAAAAATAATTAGGAAAATAGCTCTATCCTAAAATCTTATCAGCGATATTTTTAATTCATTTAATCAAAARTTATGTTGAATGTCAGTTCGAAAACGCTTTTAGTTTTATTTATTAATTAAAGTTATTTTTACTTTAATATTTCTTGCATGCGGTCTTTATTTTAAGCCCTGWAGTCTGTTTATAGAGTTATAAGTGAAAGCGGAGAAAGAAGCGGTGTTCRGTGAGCAATCAATCAAAAATGGCCGCTAGTCCCACCTGACGCAATGCAGAAATAACAACTTCAAACCACGCGCTAATAATAGTAAAAGAAAATATAATAGATCTATTATTTTCAATGTTTTATCATCCACGTTGCCTTCCTACTTTGCAGTAACGTTTTACACTGAATCGTGAAAGAAGAATTTTTCACGAATTATATATTTTCTAAACCTATACAGCTTCAAATTGCCTCAGAAATGTAAAGTGTCTCTTGAATCGTGAATTGTTCAAAATAAGCTAAACAAATTATAATTACATTGATTTTGCGATTAGTAAATGATAAAATATATCGTTAAAATGGTCATGGCTAAAACATCTTTACTTTCACAACTCATCTCTTTTCTAAACCGCATTTTTGATAATTGTTTCCATTTTGCTATTTTAAGAGACAAAAATGGCGACTACATTTTTACACCGGAAACTCAACAACATAACATTTTACAATTATATCGAAAATAAGGCAATTATATCATTTATTTAAATACATTTATGTCACTTAAAGTTTATAATTGGTTKCTCTTTTTAGTAAAGGATTTTTAGTCGAAATTGGTACAAAAATAATTCAACTAGAGTTCCGGATGGTAGCAAATATCTTAGCACTTCAAAATATTGATCGCTTTGTATAATTCTTATAAGTGCCACAAGAATTCAATAGCTTTAAGCTCAAAATCACTGATTATTTCAGTTAAACGGTGTTAATCGTGTTTGTTAAGTCTTTATCTTTGAATAAAAACGTTTTTTTAGTTTAAAACGTCTCTTAGCTTGAATTGTAAATAGGCTTAACACTAATTCGGACGCCATCTTGGATTCAGTCATGTTTGTGCAAGGGACAATGGGGATCGTACAAAACTGAACTACTTAAACCGCAATGGAAGACAAAAGATTTTGTGCAAATTCGTACAATTTTGCAAGTACATAACATATACATAAGAATAATACATTAGCGCGCGGAGATACGGATTTTATGTTCTCGTATTGAAAATATCTCTCAACACGAGAAGATAAAATTCGTATCTCCAAACGACCATGTTATATTCTGTTTATCATATAATTATATATGAAAGTAAAATAACTTTTATACTTCCAATATWTAATAYATAGAGAAACCTTGAATGCGTTATTTTCACTAGTGAAAATCTCTTTTCGAAAGAGAAAAATATAGGTAATTCGTAGATAATTATAAGTACAATTAATACACAGAAATACATTGTTAGGGCTACTATATGGTAAAAACATCTCGCTAAATACATACGGATATTTTTGAAAAATAATCTGAATGAAAACCATTAAACTATGATTTTTTTCGTCTAACGCTYGCCCCTTGGACATTTCATGATTCAGCATGGCTCCGGTGACTATCACATCTTACTGATACTAAATTTTGAGTAAGTTTGACTTTAATAGGTGCTAGAAATAGACTTCARCATGACGRGAATCAAAAGCCACGGAGGTCTCTCTAAAAAACATATTGAGAGGAATATAAATTCTAACAGAGAAGTGAACAAAAGAGAACGAAAGGCCCAAGTTTGAAGCCCTGAGGTATTCCAATATTGACATCTGTCGAAGAAAAGCAATTTCTTAAATTGCCTTAGGTTGACAAGACTAGGAGAGCTAACTCTCTAGATTGATAATTCATCATTAAGCTCATAAACCTAAGGATAACGTTTCTATAAAAAAAATGAAGGCATTTGTCATATCAACCTCGAAGGAAAAATGGCTCAGTTAAAAATATYAAGGGACGYGACATTTTTCTATCTATTAATATAAAACATCTCAAGTTGGCACGTGAAGCTGCCTGATGGTGGACCAAGCCRTTTGGTGGCGATATATTTAGGCCACCACAAGGGCACACCTAAATATTCCGCGTTATTCTTATTCCAAGTTGAAATACATAGCGGATTTAAATATTGTACTTTATACCAGCAAACTATTTTTCTTCAGTAGAAGTGAGAAATGGTATAGTTAGTATGTGAAAAAGACTTAGAAATTCAAGCAAAATCATAATCCGTTGAATTGATTTTTTATCAAGCGTTGTATTCGGGTATGTTTCTTGGTAAATCGTGTTCACAGATCAATCATTATATCAAATATACATAAAAAGATATAATTTAAAGTTGATGCGGTTTTAGTGTTACAGCCGGACAATTCAGTTCCTAAAGAAACTAGAGTTTAGTGGTAGGATGGTACCAAGATGATAAAAAAGCTGCTCAGAACCTTAAAAAAGAGGAAACATCTTAATAAACATTTTAATAATTGATATAAGAAATTTCCCTTTACTTTTTCTGTGAGAAGTGAAACCATTCTGAATTATCCATCGGAAGAGTTATTTACAGCTCTTACCTAAGTCCATTTACGTAAAGTTGTATCACCGCAAACCGCCTTAATGCATAGCCTTATTTATTTTAAAATGAATTGAAAGATTTACGTAAGAGGTTTATTAATAAGGAGTTTGAGATTTCCCGTTGTCTTTAATCAAAAAGCGCGGCCCTAAGTGAGGCAATTATCTGGGATTTATGTCAGATAAATAGAAGATTTTCAAGTAACTTCAAGACGTTGTATGTTATGGGCCTCTAAAAAATAACACGAAGAATCCTGTATGTAAATTAACAAACGGTTGGATGGATGGATGGATGGATGGATGGATGGATGGATGGGTGGAAATGGAAAAATGAATGAATTATAAATGGATGGATAAATTAATGAATGGTGGAATGAATGATTCACTAAAAGAGCAAGGGTACGTTTTAGGCTTTTTCAGGACTCACAACGCATCCATTCATGGCAGGGACTCAACTTTGTTGACAAAATCACGCAACGGAAAGAATCCATATATTGTAATTAATAGTTCGAATATACAAACACCGAAATGATTGTCTTCATGGGAACTTAATTACCTAATTATTACTAGCAGTCGATGGCGGAAATCTCATGCAGTTTGCTCACAGCCGACGGACTCTATTCCGCCATGTATTTAAGGGAGCTATAGTTCTCTTCGAYGAACTACTGGCTATTATACTAAAGTGATTTGAATCGCAAAAACAGCTCTTTGTATTGCAATGAAACTCACATTAAGTCTACTCATTTGTACRGCAATTGTCCTGTTTTTCTCGCAGTCGCATTCAGTAGTTTGCAAGAGCTTAAGTAGTAATAGTTTTAGGGACATAATGGAGAAARTATTCGAAAAACGAATGCTGACRGATGAAGAGAGGCCTATGTGCATTAAGAATACCATTTGCMGGCTTTTCACCCAAGGCAAGGAGCGYTTTCCAAATTTTATGGAGAGTATATGAGGTAAAAATGCAACTTAATACTATTCTTGAAAGCAATTTGATTTACTTTGCAAATGCGCTTATACAGTCCAGTTCATTACCACTTTTAGGAAACCTGCATGCATTGAGCACTAAATGGTGACCCAAGGACCCTTTCATGTCATCCCGTATTTTGTCCATTAATATTTGAAAACAGCCCCTTTTGCACCAATCTTGTGCAGTGACAAATGACTCCATTTTCGTGAACAAACGTGTGAAAAACCAAAATATTAAAGCACGTACTTAGCTTGCATTTTAGATTGCTCCATGGTATTTTCCTTATTCAACTGTACTCGCAAARACGTCTTTTTAAGTGTCTTTACCTATTTTCCTGATAGATTTAATTCCACAATATAGAGGAAAACTAGAATAATTTAGCTCTCTCTTCGAACTAGTCTTGTTTGAGTGCACAACGCGAGTTTAATACATTCGGGTCTTGGAATTTTCTATGTAGTATTACCTTTTTAAAGCATATTCATCCATCCTTTCATCTCTTTATTCAGACATTTCAATTTATATATATATGATATCAAAGAGGCAAGATTTTGCTGTAACTCCGAGTTTCGTGCTACGCACTCATTAAATACTGTCTGATGAGTGCGTAGCACGAAACTCGTAGTTACAGCAAAATCTTGCCTCTTTGATATAATATATATAACTAGCTCTACACTTTATGTGTATTGAGCACTCTTTAATGGGATCAGCCACTTCCTCATACGATTACATTTCAATTTATGGATGAATCCAATATGGAACCTCTTTATTCCGGCCACCGAAGGTGACATTAAAAAGTGCCCGAATAAACGGGCTGTCCGTTTTAACCGGCCAGACAAGTATGAAAGTTTAATTCACCAATACATAAACTCCTTGTCGTTATGACGAGGTGTTCGTATTTAAGTGGATGGCCGTAATGCAGGGGTTCCACTGCACTTGGTTAATCCATCAACCTATTGAATTTGTAAATTTTTTATTCACCACTATCATTTATTTTGCCAGACTTCACTATGATGGATAGATTCAAAAGTACGTTGCTACAGCCGCTGTTATAGGATCAACAAAGAACCACTGGGCTGATGCAACAATTGCAAGTCACTAAAAAAGATCAATAAAATGATACAAAAAAAACCCACAAAGTCTCTAATAATTAATTTTTTTTCAAGGATTGATTCTCTAGTCCCACCTTGTTTATATCAGAGGATAGAGCCACTCGCGGCCGTTCGATATTTCTTAATCTCAAAAAATTGGTAAAAAAATCATTATACCGGCCACCGAAGGGACTTCGTGCCCGTATTAGCGAGGTGTGATCGTATTAGGCATGCAAAGTAAAGTAAGACGGTTTGATTCGCTGGTCATTCACCTGACGTCGGAGTTTTGATTTTGGGCATCCCATAATTTTTTTTGGAAAAATTCAAGATGGCGGCCATTATTAGTATACGCGGTGGTCTCTCTTCATACATAATTATTGCTTTAACTCCAAGCGGTTTAGTACGTGAACAAGCATTGTGAAATCGTAAGAACACGCACGTGGTGCTAACACCTCTGAAAATTAAATATCAACTCTGGTATTGTGCAGTCTTGGGAGTCTCATCGCATCGACGCCTATTAGTGAGGGTTTTGAAATTTCTAATTACCARATGAGAGGTTTCAGCTGAAAAGGGGTCTTATTCATAAATATTTTGCTTTGGACTGCAYATAAAACTGTTGCGTCATCAAAGGGGTCTTAGTCTTTAAGAACCTTTTTAAGTTGCAACCCCTCAAATATATATGCCAAAGCAGTAAAACAAACGCGGTAAAATTTTAAATTTAGTTTTAGATGAAGATTTTTGTACAGAATTTTACTTTACAATTATAATTTTTTTTAATCCTTTAAAACTACCATGGAGGTTTTCTATTCTTTTCTCTTTTATGGTAATCAAGGAGTCAAGCAATATTTTTTATAAAGAATTTTGTTTATGTTTCATTCCTAAGTTTTGTTCATTATAAGGTATGAAAAATAAATCTTTTAAATAGACATTGAAAAAGATCTGAAATCTAACGTTTTTCTGAACCAAATAATTAGTATGATTTAGTCAAGGAAACACATCTATACGGATCACAAGCTCTGTATTATTAAATAATCTCAAGTGTTTTTCTTATTACTTACAAATTAATATCTTAGAAATCCATCTTATATCTATATATCAAAGACAACACAAGTACTTTAAAACTAGAGCTTTATTTAGACCGTTCGTGTTTGGCCGTGGAAAGTTTGCCAGGTTATACAATTTAAAAACAGTGAAAAGGTACAATGTTAGAGTGTGATATCTTAACAGACAATCTTCCAAACAGTTTGGGCTTTTAATTTGACTCTACTAGAGACATTAGATAAGCAAGTTAGTGGTCATTAAGAGAATACAATTGGAATAGTTAACTGAGAAAACATGTAGATTCGTGCAAAGTGCACAATCGGGTTTATAGATAAACTTTTAAATCACGATCATCGAGCTTGCTAGTTCAGTCCGTCCAAGTTTTCAAATAAACATTGTTGAAGTTAAAACCATTATAGTTTCTCACTGGGCCGTTTTAATACCTTGAGAAGAGTTAAGCTTTTTTTGCACGTGTATTTAATACACGGCGGTCGAAGAATTTGCCTTCGAAAATTCTCCATATCTTCTTTATCCCTAGATTTTAAAAACTTTTTAAAGCCATCTTGGAATTGGTATAAATCGTTGAGCTCATTACGTTCTTCTCGTTGAAACTCTGGTTTGTCGTGCTGGTTGAACTTTCTCGTAAGAGGGAAGACATCTCCATTTTCGTAATACGTCAAAGATTTTGCACTCACTGTACCAAGTAATGATGTCGTTCCAAAGAGGACGACCATAAAAACGACTACAGCACTCCTCATCTTGCTATTACCCATGTATTTTCTTCAATGGGATAGATAGATCCTTTCTTCKGTAACAAACTTGAGAGAGAACCACAGCAGTCTGTTTTTCCCGCCCTTTTCAACTTTCAGTGCGCGAGCGTGTAGTCGAACGACGATTRTAAAGTGACGAGAAATGCTCACCGCTTTATAAAGGATTAAAAACGGCTTTCGGGGCAAAACTTATTACCAAAAGAATTAATATTTATTCACGAAACGTCATGCTTTAATGACAATAGATGTTGATTTGACCCTGAGGAGGAAGCGTTTAACTAGAAAGCCATCAAYAAACAGGTGCAACACAATTTCCTCAGTAGCTCTCACTAGAAGTAAATCACTTATTGTCAAATTATTTGATCAATTTACCTTTAGCAATCGTTTTAAATTTCTAAGATATAAAACAAGGAATTGAATACTAAGAATATGAACTTAATGCAATTTTTGGGAAGTTTTTTTTTTGTGCGCAAAGACGCCTTAAGACAGGAAAGTTCGTCTCATTTTTTCACGAATGGCAGCTGTTATTTTTAGGAAAGTCTCTACCGTTCGATGTGAAATCGTTCTTGTGGATTATCTCATGTTACCTTACTTAATGGCATAGGTCCTAAACGGCTTTATACGTATAARCACTCAAATAACCAAACAGTTAACAATAATCCTGTAACTTAAGCAAGATGACATGCTATCAAAAGRGGAACAATTATCTCGAAATTCAAGTCCATTTTAAGCGGCTTGTTGGCACGTGTTTGGAGAACGCGCCGCAAAATAGTCATAATGGTTAATGGGATTCATCAAGGATCGATTCATTTTCRTTTTGAAGTTCAAGACAAAGAAAATCATGTCAAGTATTGTTCATATCGAAGCTATCGATTCAGTCACATATAACCTAGTAACTCGGCCATAACTTAACAGTTTGACACTAAAAAAGTATTAGTATTCTTGCTTAATATTTTCAGTTTYATGCATCCGGCATTTTCAGTTTTAATTTCTTGTTAAGTGATAGTTCCGTTTTTTTTAAGGCACTATCTCAAGCACGCCTCTGATCTAAGTACTAGTGGTCTACAGCCGTCTAGCAGTCCCAATTTTGGCTCAAAACATCTACATCCTTCTATTCGACCATAATTTAATATTGTAGTTTTATTTTAAGGAGGTCGGATCTTTCAGTATTGTCAATGAATTTTCCATTRTTTTACTCGTTTTTTAACTTGTTTAAATTGCGCTTCCGTTTTCAGTGCTGACGAAGYCCCGTCTTCAATTTGTATGG